GTCATTCAAGCATAATAATAAATTCCAAAACATAAAATACTTATTCAACATCAAAAGAAAAACTCAATTCATGCATCCCACTCCTCATCATGACAACATGAAACATCAAATGCTATGATATTTAATATTTATGTGTGGACTTGAGTGTTATTTTTAATGGATTTTATGGATATTGTGTTGTTTGAGAAAAAAAAAAAAAACTAACATATATATATAATGAATCTAGTACAAAGAGAATTGCATATCGAATAAGAGAGAGGCTTCAACTTATGGAGAGAATTAGAATTGATGCAGCTTAATTATCGCATTAGGGATATGCATATAGGTCCATTAATGTATTTATTTAGAAGAAAAAAAAGAAAAAGAAAAGGGAAGTATTGTTTGTTTCAGTGGGGGGTTAAAAGGTGTTTGCTTTAAAAAAAATTTAAAAAATTAAATTTTTTTTTAAATAAAAACCAAAATGTGCATTTAAGGCACCTTAGTTTGGAAAAAAAAAAAAGCTTAAGTAACAAGATGAAACGACGTCGTTTCATTAAAACAAATCCTAAAAAAAATTCAAGCAAGGTCGTCTTCTTTCCTCGCACTTTGGCTCGCAAACAGCGGTGCTTCTTCGCACCTTCCACACCTCGCCACGCCTCGCTACATAAGGCTACGCTAAGCGTGCAACAAGCTAAACATTCATACTCCCAAGGGCGGAGGCATGTAGGGACCAGTGCAGTCACTGGCCCCCACTCACCTTTTTTTTCTTTCTTTTAAAATGTAATATATATTGTTGTTATTGAATAATCTATTAGGACCCGCCCCGAATTTCCCGGAACCCGAGACGAATCCTGTGGAATTCCTGACATCACCCCGATGTCGGGCCCACTTCTGAAAACCATAACCTCTTTCTCTTGAAAGAGTACAGGCACGAGACTTTCTGCCGAAATTTCGGCAGAGTCTACCCTGTAAATTGAACATTCCCCAAAATTTCCACCTGCATAATACACATTTAATATACCAACAGACAGCACGCACAATATATTTTCAAGCAATTCACATAAATGGCCTCCGACCTTCTAATATTTCGCCAGCAATGCTCTTAAATCCAATTAATGCATTAAACAATGCATATAACCATCTCAAACTTATTTATAAACGCCCACTCTAATCAACATACGAGGATTTAACCTCCTAATATGCACACCTCTCGTTCTTACCTGAATCTCAGGACCAATGACAAGGTCCGCACCACACTCATAACCTACAAAGGTAAGGTTTAACTCGCGGCTGCACTTAGTAACTTCTGGCTGCCTACGTATCCTTACTGAGGGATCAAGCCACACGTAGTTCTTTCATTAAAACTATTTTTTCCTCGAAATCACAACTCAACAATACTCACAAAATCTCCTCATACCCCGGAACATCCAAAGTCACGTATGGGCCTATCCGCACGCAGGATAAACCTACGACACGTGAGAACTCATCATCATATCACATATCACCCCTCATACGACAGGACGCACCCGGCCTCGTATGAGGTCTGTCAACATGCCTGCTACTCCTACGACACGTGCGACCTCAACACAATCACAATATCACCCCCTCTTACGATCGGACGCACCCGGCCTCGTATGGGGTCTATTAACACGCCGGCTACTCCTACGACACGTGCGACCTCAACACAATCACAATATCACCCCGTCATATGATAGGACGCACCCGGCCTCGTATGGGGTCTATTAACACGCCGGCTACTCCTACGACACGTGCGACCTCAACACAATCACAATATCCCCCCTCATACGACGGGACGCACTCGGCCTCGTATGGGGTCTGTCAACCCGCCGGCTTCTCCTACGACACGTGCGACCTCAACACAATCACAATATCCCCCCTCATACGAAGAGACGTACCCGGCCTCGTATGGGGTCTGTCAACACGCCGGCTACTCCTACGACACTTGCGACCTCAACACAATCACAATATCACCCCGTCATATGATAGGACGCACCCGGCCTCGTATGGGGTCTATTAACACGCCGGCTACTCCTACGACACGTGCGACCTCAACACAATCACAATATCACCCCGTCATACGACATGACGCACCCGGCCTCGTATGAGGTTTGTCAACAGGCCGACTACTCCTACGACATGTGCGACCTCAACACAATCACAATATCACCCCTCATACGACTGGACGCACCCGGCCTTGTATGGGGTCTGTCAACACGCCGACTACTCCTACGACACGTGCGACCTCAACACAATCACAATATCACCCCTCATACGAAGAGACGTACCCGGCCTCGTATGGGGTCTGTCAACACGCCGGCTACTCCTACAACACGTGCGACCTCAACACAATTACAATATCACCCCTCATACGACGAGGCGCACCCGGCCTCGTATGGGGTCTGTCAACACCCCGGCTACTCCTACGACACGTGTGACCTCATCACAATATCCCAATATCACCCCTCATACGTCGGGACGCACCCAGCCACTTATGGGGTCTGTCAACACCCAGGGAGGCACATAGGGTAGTACGTATAGCACTCCAAACTGACATTCTATACTCTTTTATACCTTTGTATACACATATAATTATATACATTAATTTCTAATATTGTAAACACCTTAACAACCATCTAGCATCCGATAATCCCCCATAACCCACATAACATCAAGACCTGTCACTACGGTCATTCTAACCCTCCTGGGAAGGTAGGACTACAACGAAAATCTCGCAGTCAACCCATGGTCAAACTACCCAACCTTGGTCAAACGGACCCACGGGACCCATGACCTCCAAATTCCAATCCGATAGCTTCTAAGAGTGCTACGTGGTTTAAGACACACGCCCTGCAAGTTTGGTCCAGATCGGACGGTCGGATCGGTCACGATCACACGATCGGACGGTTACTAAAACCCTAACCCTAGGGTTGGCATTTTCTGAGTATCCGGACTCCGTTTTACGATCCATCGAATCCTACACGATCCTAAGGATGTCTAGATTAACATATTATAAACTCAGGACCATCCAACGGTCCAAACCTAGCGAACCCGGATAGCGCACAATATGCGATATCCGTTCGGCCCTCTAACGGTATCCAAATTGGGATCCGAGCACGCCTACGCACTTGTGGAAACCTGAGGATCCCATTGGGACAAAAATGGTCCTCACCTACGCCACACGCACCGGCAGCGCGTGGGTGTCCAAAGCGATAACCCATCGCCGGAAAAACCCAAAATCACGGCTCAAGACTCCTACCCTAGGTGAAACACCCTATTTGGAGTCTCTTTTGTTCTTAGACCTACCCCAAAAACTGACCGGAAGTGGCCGGAATCTCATCCCGAAATCCGACCGAAATCCAATTCCAAGATCAGACATCCTACGCTCAAAATCGATGCAATCCTACCCAACCATCAGCTAGATAATGCAGAAGGGATGAATTTTCATACCTTGATCACCAAAAATGGCGGCCAGAAGACGGAGAACGAAGCAGGCGAATTTTCTGTCAAAACCGGCGTTAACGTCGGTGATGGTCGGGACAGGTTGGTGGGGTGGCGGCGATTCGAACTCGACCGGTCTCGAGGCCAGTCGTTGACTGTGGTGGCGGCGGGGGGGGGGGCGTGCGCCCCACTCATCTCACCGTGCTCTACGCAACAATAGAGCCGAAATTCCCAAATTCCTTCCTGATTAGAAATGACCAAATTACCCCTATCCCAAGGGTAAATTCATAATTTCACTTAAATAAATTAAAATAGGCAATAAATTTGGAGTCGGGGTGTTACAATCTATATTAATTAATATGTTTGTTTTATCACGTGGGCCAGCAGCCAAATCCTGTTTTCCTTTCCACCAAGCGTAAGCCACTTTCCTTTCCTTTTTCCAAAGGTTTATGGCTCTTATTATTATATATTTACCCTTTAAAAAAAATTGATAAAATCCTAACCCATTTTTCTCTTTTCTCATAGATACACAAGCAACAAAGCAGACTTTCTCAATGCACTATCTGTGAGTTTTTCTCTCAAACTCCATATTAAACTATCAAGTTTTAATTAGGTTAATTTATTCAATTAAAGTTTTTTTTAGCAGTTCTCTTATTTATTTTTTTCTTTACTTATTTATTTTTAGTTCATAAAATTTTGATTTTTTTTCTTTTTATTGATTTTAATAGATCTTCAATTGATGTATAAATGATTGCTTCGTTGCATATATTGAGAGATACATTTTCAATGGTATAGATGACAAGGTTGTTATGCAATGATTTCAAAATATGAAAACTCGTCAAGAATGATGATGATTGTAATGAATACACAGTATGATTTTTGATGTTTTGGTCTGTCTTGTGAGTTCAAATTTTTTATTGTTTATATTTTGTGAGAGGCCCCCACACACATGAAATTCTGGCTTCGCCACTGCGTACTCCTAAGGTGATTTCCCTCTACCCCACTTCGATGCGCGCTCCGACTTACACTTAGGCATGCTTTTGAAAACACTGCCTCGAACACAAAGAATTGTAGGAAAAATGATAAATTTTACTTATCTTTGATATATGTTTAATATCAAACACCATGCTACATGATATACTCAGTGGGGGCATAAACTTTTATTTTGTTTAAGTGGGGGCATACAAAGTTTAAATACAACGAGAACGTGCAAAAGCAGACTTAAAGCTAATCGTGGAAAGTAAAGAGAAGATGAAATTTATTTCATCCACTGAGATTATGTACGTACATTCAGCCATGATAAGTTCATGTTTCTTTCTTCTTTGTTTAATTAATTTCCTCTTATTAGTGGCGCACTACGACCATTTGTAATCTTTTTATTCAAAGTTTGGCATACAATCAAAGTTGAGAAAACAAGAAACGTGGCGTGGGTAGCTTTGGAGAAAGAAAAAAAAAAGACATACCCGTGGTCCTCCTCGCTTTCCTCGCTTCTGTTCTGCCCGTCTTAGATAAGTGCTTCATGGACTGAGAGTCGATAACCAACAATGGTCTCAAGTCTTTCAGCAACCAAATATTTCGATTTCAATTCAAAAATTAGTTATCTTTGCTCTATATTTTAGATGATGACAAACATTTGTGCACATTAAAGAGTACTTACTCTCTCTCTCTCTCTCTTCCAAAATGGCTGCGAAGTACTCTACAAAGCTTCACTTTCTTCTCCTTCTTCTCTTTTTTCTGTTAACCAATTCTGCAACTCCACTAAACTTCAGTTTCTCTAGATTCAACGGCAAGGACTACCCCACCATATGCACAGAAGGCGATGCATATATTGACACCCAATTCCTCCGCCTCACCAACAGCAGCCTAGACAATGATATGAAAGGCAGTGTTGGCAGAGCCACCTACAGCCGACCCTTCCTCCTCCGTGAAAACAGCACTGGAAAACTCGCTGACTTCACCACAAGTTTCAACTTCGCCATCGTCTCCATGGACTCAGACAACAAATCCAGCTATGGCGACGGCCTAGCCTTCTTCATAGCCCCAAACGGGTCCTTCATCGGCACCAAACTAGCAGCTGGTACCACTCTCGGCCTCCCTTACAACTTCACATCTCCAAAAGACACCGCTTTTGTGGCGGTGGAGTTTGATATCTACGCTAATCCAATGGTCGATCCCCCGTACGAACATGTGGGTATAGACGTAAACTCTCTCAACTCTAGCATTACCAGACCTTGGAAAGGAGGTATTAAGGAAGGAAAAAGAAATAGCGCTACCATTAGTTACAATTCCACTTCAAAAAATCTGAGTGTTGCCTTCACTACCTATGTAAGCAATACGAGTGATACACAAGTGATGAAGCATTTTTATTACATTATTGATCTGAAACAGTACTTGCCTGATTGGGTTGTTGTTGGGTTCTCTGCTTCAACGGGTAACTATACTTCTCTGAATAAGATCATCTCATGGAATTTCAATTCAACTTCACTAGGTGATCATGACAGTAAGGTCGGTATTGCAACGGACAACCAAACACCAAGCGCCATGGCCAGTACTAATTCCAACCGCAAGTCAAGAAACAAGAGTATAGGCCTTGCAGTTGGGTTGGCGATTGGTGCCTGTGCTGTCTTGTTTGGTGGATTGGGTTTGATTCGGTTAGTCATGTGGAAGAAAAGGGAAACAACTGTTGAAAGTAGTGATGAAGATCCCATAGTTCATGAATTGATTGACGATGAATTTGAAAAGGGGGCCGGACCAAGGAAGTTTTTGTATAGCGAATTGGCTCAGGCCACCAGCAATTTTAGGGAAGGAGAAAAGCTTGGAGAGGGAGGATTCGGTGGGGTTTATAAAGGCTTTATAACAGATTTGAAGTCATATGTTGCTGTTAAGAAGATATCGAGGGGTTCTAAACAAGGACTTAAAGAATATGCTTCTGAAGTGAAGATCATCAGTCGACTTAGGCATCGCAATCTTGTGCAACTGATTGGCTGGTGCCACGAAAGAAAATTCTTACTTGTGTACGAGTTCATGCCTAACGGGAGCTTAGATTCTCATTTGTTCAAAGAGCAGAGCTTGTTGACTTGGGACGCAAGATACAAAATTGCACAAGGTTTGGCCTCCGGATTGCTCTATCTACACGAAGAGTGGGAGCAATGCGTGCTGCATAGGGATATCAAATCAAGCAATGTTATGTTAGATTCGAATTTCAACGCAAAACTTGGGGATTTCGGGTTAGCTCGACTTGTGGACCACGGAAAACAGTCGCAAACCACAATTTTGGCTGGAACAATGGGGTACATGGCTCCGGATTATCTCAGCACCGGAAAGGCTAGCAAAGAATCTGATATCTACAGCTTCGGAGTTGTTGCTCTGGAAATAGCGTGTGGGAGAAAACCGATCGATCTTCCAAAGTCCGGAAGTAGTCCAATCAATTCTGTTGAGTGGGTTTGGGAGCTTTACGGAGAAGAAAGAGTTATTGAAGCTGCTGACCCAAAGCTGTGTGGGGATTTTGTTGAGAAACAAATGGAGTGCTTGATGACTGTTGGGTTATGGTGTGCTCATCCGGATTACAGTAAGAGGCCTTCAATACAACAAGCAATTCAAGTGCTTAACTTTGAGATTCCCTTGCCCATTCTCCCATCAAAGATGCCAGTGGCTACCTATTTTGATCCTCCGAAATCGCTATCAATGTTTTCTACTGATACTAGTGGTTCTCAGGGATGTCAAACAGAGTCTTCAAACTATGGTCACAACGCAAATTCCTCAGAGTTTACCACATCTTCTCTTGCCACAAATTATCATCCTTCAAATTAATTTACGTAAGAAATAAGCGGACCTTAGTAATTATTATAATCTGGATCCTAAGGTTTTGGGATTGTTGTAACTTCACTGTTGTTAACCATCATATATATAGCAGTCTTGTCCTATGCAAGATGTCTTGTCTTATAAGACTCAACGCTGTTAAAAAGTAATGCACACTTGTACTACAAAGAAAAATCTTGAATAATTTAGAAAAATGTAGAAAGATTGAGAGAAAGTAGACAAGTTAGAAATATCCATGTACAAACTAGAGAAATCTAGAATAATTTCTCTAGAAGGGGAATGCTAGCAACTTTCTCTCTAACCTTCTCCTTTGGACCTTTTCCCTTTTTTGCTTGACATGTGTCATTCTCCTTATACTTAAAATAATGTCATTAATATATTATACAAGTTAACTTTTGCTTTTCAAGTTTACCCTTATTAAATATATTCAATTTATCCACACAAAAATTCACAACTTTCTTACAATCTTTATATATTTTCTTTAAATGTCAATTATTTTATTTAAAGAAAATGTTTGCTTTTTTCAAAAAAGAGGAAATGTTCATTTTTTTTTAAACACAGAGGACTTTTTTTTTTCTATCTAAACCCTTTGTGTTATAAATTAATAAAAAAAGACGGAACATTTCCTCTTAAAAGCATATATTTTCTTTAAAAATAATAATTGACGTTAGAAAAAAATTAAATAAGATCGTAAGAAACTTGTGAAATTTTTTTGGATAAATTGAATACATTTAATAAGGGTAAACTTGGAAAGCAAAAGTTAGCTTGTATAATATATTAATGACATTGTTTTAAGTGTAAAGAGAATGACACATGTCAAACAAAAAATGGAAAAGGTCCAAAGGAGAAGGTTTGAGAGAAAGTTGCTAGCATTCCTCATCAGCTATTAGCAGCCCATATGCATTGAAGGAAAAGCTAAAACTACAGCTTGTCTAACTCTCCCACTAGCCAACTCTAAAGCTTTGTACCTCTTTTATTTCAATCAATAAAATAAAATTATCTTGTTACTCTTTTAAAAGGTTTTCCTTTCCAACTCAAGCTATTGTCCTAAACATTACTAACCATTCTCTACCATTCTCTAAACCTCTTCTATCTTAAACTAACAGTGGTATCAGAGCTTGTTCCAATCAATCTTGGGCGTTGGTTTACTAGTCCTCCATCATGTCTACCAAAAGCCAAAACTCTGACCCTCTTCCTCTTTTCGCAGGAGAAAACTATGATTTCTGGAGTATTAAAATGAAGACCTATTTTATGTCTCAAGATTTATGGGACATAGTTGATAGTGGCTTCAATAATCCATAAAATCCAACCGTGGAACAGTTGAGGCAACTGAAGAAAGATCAACAATGCAAAGGCCTTATATGCCCTGCAACAAGTCTTGCATGATACAATTTTTCCAAGAATCATGGGAGCCACAACTGCAAGGGAAGCATGGAATACCTTAAAGGAGGAATTTCAAGGCAATGCCAAGGTATGTGCAGTTAAACTACAAACTTTGAGAAGAGAGTTTGAAAACATTAAAATGAAGGATTCTGAGACCACACAAGACTATTATGCTAAAATAAAAATAATAATTAATCAATTATGAGTCTTCCTGATAATTATGATCCTTTAGTTACTGCCATTGAATAGACAAAAGATTTAACTAGTCTGTCAGTGACAGAACTAATGGGCTCTCTTGAAACTTATGAGAAAAAACTGAGTAGGCGAAATAAAAATTCAGTTGAAAGCGCCTTTTAGTCAAAACTAAATTTAAGGTCTCAGAAAACTAAAGAAGGAGAAAGGAAAATTGGAGAAAGTTCTAGAAGAGAAGATTATAAATCCAATAAGAATTGGGGAAATAAAAAAGAAATAAAGGAAAGAAAAAACTATCCTCCCTGCAAAGGAAAATACAAACCACGAAAAATATTGTTGGTTCCGTGGCAAGCTCAAATGTTGAAATTGTAAAAAAATAGGGCAAATAAAAAAAGACTGTCGGACCAAGAACTGTCAAGCCAATTAATCAGAAAAAAGTGAGAAGAATGAGCATATGTTTTATGCTCATCAAGTCAAACCAGAAGGAACCAACAAGAAATGGTATATTGATAGCGGCTGTAGTAATCACATAACTGGAGATGAAAGTATCTTCTCCAACATAGACAAGTCCGTAAAATCCCAAGTAAAATTGGGAAATGGAACATTGGTGGAGACAAAAAGAAAAGGTACAATTTCTACCCAAACTAATAAAAGGAACTAAATATATTAAAGATGTTCTACTAGTACCTAGCCTGGAGCATAATTTATTAAGTGTTGGACAAATGATTGAAAATGGCTACTTTCTGCTCTTTCCTAGAGACTCCTGCACAAAACTCGATAAAATAAAATAAAAATCACATAATAACAAAAGTAAGGATGGAAAATATAAATTTTCCTATCCAATGGCAACTTGTAAAAGCCACAGCCATGAAAGCAAAAGTAGAAGATTCATGGTTATAGCATAGAAGATTTGGCCACTTTAATTTTTATACACTAAAAACTCTTTATCAAAAGAATATGATGAGAGACCTTCCAAACATAAAAGAGATCCATGATGTCTGTGAAGGTTGCCAACTTGGCAGACAACATCGACAAGCATTTCCATCTGGAAAGGCTTGGAGAGCTAAGGCCTTGTTGGAGCTTGTTCACACAAACGTTTGTGGACCTATGAGGACTCCATCTCTTGATAACAACAGGTGCTTTATCCTGGTTATAGATGACTATACTAGAATGACGTGGGTTTATTTTCTACAAGAAAGATCAAAAGTATTTAATATCTTCAAAAAATTCAAAACCCATGTCGAAAAACAAAGTGGCCACTATATTAAAGCTCTAAGAACTGATAGAGGAAAAGAATATACATTTTTTTTCTGTAAGTCATATCCTCTGTTTCTTCCTCATACACGAATGTTTTCTCATGCCACCATCATACGAATAATAAGCTTCAGTTCTGTTTTTTTTCAATCATTTCAATTATGAAACCCTTGTGTATATACGTTGTGTGAAGTACTGGTGAAATTTGATTTGATCATTTCGCAAGCAAATTTACAAGTAGTGAGCCAAAAAGACACAAATTAATTTAGGTTTACAACAGGATTAAAGCAGCAGAACAAACTTTGACAAACTTTGACAAACTTTGAACACAAAAAAGAAATTCCAAAATCTAAGACCAAAAACCTGCACTCAAGTGGCAGACTCAGGAGCAGCATCCTGCGTGAGCCCTCCTTTTTGTTTCTTGCGCAAGACAAACAAATCAGCCTCTTCGTACGCATAATCCGGGTGCAAATCCTGGTGCGAAACTTTCTCTATCACAAAAACCCTCTCACACATTTCCCAGAACAGTTGGTGTGCTTCCGGAGACCTCAACTGGTACCCGAGCAAAACGACGCCGTCGTCCTTCACCAGCGCCTCCATGGTGGACACGAGCGGGCCCCCAGTCTCCTCTATGTAAACGACGTCCGTCGCCACGACGACGTCGTACGGAGGGCTCAGGGACTTGGCCTGATCCGCCGCCTTGTTCCAGTGCACGATGGCATGCTTGAGCGTCTTCCCCAGGACGGGCTTGTTGCGCTTGAGGTTGTGCTTCAGTGCGGGCATGACCGCGGGAATATCGGTAAGGACGAGGTCGGCCAAGCCGAGCAGATAGAGACCCATGCCGGCGGCTCCGCAGCCGGCGCCGAGCTCCACGACTCCCTTGCCGTGGGAGTCGCGGGGGGTGGGGGCGGGGGTTTTGGGGTCCGGGGGTGGGG